ATGGTACATTGGATATTCAATACACCAGACTGGTTGCAGTACTTGGGTGAAACAGCAAGATGACAAGGCATGAAGTCTGACCATCCATTCATCCAATTTTGCGCATCTTTGTACATGTCTATATTGAATGTCCTCACATAGTCACTCTCATTAGGTTTTGCCTTGAGCACTGAAAGACTAAGGAGTCGTATTTTTATGAAAATACCCAAGTGAAGTCAATTTTCCCCCTCCAAATTAAAGCACACCAAAAACAAAAGATTTAGCCYTAGCAGTAGGGTCACACAACATTCATATCAGAGTGTCATGTCACCAAGAGGGTAGACTAGTCTTTTGTTTTGTTTCCCCAGGAGACACCAAAAACAAAAGATTTAGCCCTAGCAGTAGGGTCACATAACCCATGTCAGCAGGTTTTATGCCACCAAGGGTAGACTAGTCTTTTCTTTTGTTTCCCCAGGAGACACCAAAAACAAAAGATTTAGCCCTAGCAGTAGGGTCACACAACATTCATGTCAGCAGGTCATGTCACCAAGAGGGTAGACTAGACACCAAAAACAAAAGAGTTCGCCTCAACAGTATGGTAATTAAGGCCTAAAACCAGGGTAGACAAGTACAGTGTACATACTTGTTATAATATTAATGATTTTGATGGAATATTCCAAAAGGCACTTGTATTTTCTTTGTATACATTGAGCATCAGGGCAGCAAGTCTACAAGAAAATACTAGTGACAAGTGGAATATTCCATGATGATCCACGAGAACACATGCCTGCACATGCACACTTGACAAAAAGGGCTATTGATGGCAGATATCTTTGTCATCTGTAGGGACTATGATAATCCTGAATTTTGTGAAATAAAGGTTTTTATCTAGTATGTACAGTTAGGTCATGATGCCTAATGGAAACCATCCCAAATTCAAATATTAGGAATAAAATAAATTACCAGTTAAATCACTTATTACCTGCAGATAACATGTGCATTCAGTCCCTCACAAGTGATCTGGTTTGGCTGTTCTGGTGTATTATTATCACAGTCCTCAACCTTGTTCAACATCAGTGTCATATACCGCTCATCAACCTTCCCTTTCGGGTAAGCCCTCATTMTCCACTTATAGCCACACAACCAAAACATCGGGCTCAATAAGCAAGAGCCAGTTTCAGAGCCACTGGCTTTGGATGGGAATTGCTTAATTTGCCATATGAAACTTTTRTTTGTTTCCTGGTCGAAAAATAAARATAATAAAAATAAATGATTTTYKTTCTAGGATATTATAAAAGTTATATTTTTCTATTCTTAGTATCATTTACATCATCATTTTCCCTGCTATAGACTCCTTTTTTTCTCCTTTCTTCTCGGAGAGATCGCAAGAAAATATAAAGCCTTCCCTGATCTGTTAAATTATTTGATCTAACTGCTGTCCATGGTTGTGGCAAAAAAAAGGTTTTGAAACCAGTTTATTAGATTGGCTACCGCTAACTATTAAGGAGTCCACTATTTCCAATGTCATCAGTTGCCTAGTAGCACTCACACATGCGTAACAGAAAATGTGACGATTGGGAGCAGAGTCTCATTTTCCTCACAAATGCGGATCCAACAAAGGAAAAAGGAACGGAGACTCTGTCGGCAGGGAAATCATCATTAAGTATAGCCAGCTGAACCAATCAGAATTGAGGATTCAACATTGTATTTTGATTAGCATTTCCCTTGATTCTTCAAAGAGAATTCATGAAATACAATTTTTTGTATTTTCTAAATTGATCATAAACCCTCGTCACACTCAAGACAGAATCCCATTTCAGCCGACAAGAGAAATCTACATTATACTTAGTCCCTGCTAGGAAAATGCTAAMCCAAAATAAGTTGACCCAAAAATTTACTTTTGGTGAACTCAGTCGACTCAGCTGGAATGAGGASAGCAATCAAGAGTGAGCAGTTATGCATGTTAAGACTTGAAGGAAACTTATTATAAACAGTTTTTTTCAGGACAAGAACAATAAGTTGGAATTCTAAAACATTTYGCAGGCTATGGAATTTTTGTATAGTGTGTTTACCTTAGTTTTGGCTAATTCTCTTCTCAGTTGTTTGTTCTCTTTTGCGAGAAGCAACATGTGTAAGGACATCTTTTCCTGCAGGTGTTTCTCTAAATCCTTTTGCAAAATTTTATCTGAACAGCCCTGGTCTTGAAATGCACAAGGAATAATTGCATTATCACACACTTTGTTTATATGATCAGCCAAGTTGCACCTGAGAGAAGATATTACAGTTGATTATAAGGATAGATTTTAAGGTGAAGTTGAGAAGTATGGGTAGATTAGAATCTGACTCAATTGCTCTTTCCATAGATGACGTTAGATGACGTACACAATTGTGTATTATGGGAGTGAGCCAAGCACACATGGTATTAAATATGTTGCAACAATGTTTTGTTGTCATGTTGACAGTTTTAAGTTAGTGGAAAATTGACCGATTATAATCTCCTTTTCCTTGTGACTGAAGMTCCGTCTGTCCGTCCGTCCGTCSGTCCATCCATCCATCCTTCCATACCCCTATATCCAGTAGTCAATTCATGCCTCATCCATACCTTGACTCACCCTTAAAACTATTCATTCTTCTATCACTATCTCTATGACAATGAGTTCATTGATCATTTCATTTGAAACCCATTATTTTTTACATCCTTCCATCTACCCCAACCCTCCCACAAACAGTCCATCCATAAATAAACATTTTTTGTTTTCAATATCATAGCTGTACTGCTGTGTTCCTTGATTACAGACTCAGGCAATTAGTATAGGAAATCGCACGATCTCGAGTACAATTTGGAAATTAATAGACACGAGTAATGTTTTGAAAGTTCTTGTAATTGCACGAGCCTTTAGGTGAGTGCAATTAAAGAACTTTCAAAACATTACGAGTGTCTATTAATTCCAAATTGTACGAGAAGATCGTGYGAYTTTTTGTTTATAGTTCACTCAACAAAATTTCTGTAAAAAATGCGAAGCGACGCCGTTCATCTTTGTCTATTTGGCGGCCGATTTTCATCCAWSGCGCAACTGAAATGCATAAAAAAGATTAGTTCTTAYGGCTATAAAATTTTATTTATATGTTTTTTAAGTACAAAATGATAGAAAATAATTGTTTTGACATTGTTTTGGCYGTGTTGCCATAGYGACTTAATTCGGTACTCTTACGGAGTACAATTAACGATATAATTGTACTCCTCTCGACCAATCAGAGTCGAGTAATTTTGTTGAGTGTACTATAAGCCTTGAAATACATATTCACAAATACCAACCAGTAAATTAAGAATGCAAAACTTCAACAATAAAAACACTTTAAATCCCTTCACTTATAACACATGAATATTTAAGGCCAACTCTGAGCAACAGAGAACTTGAAACTGGAACATTTATTTACCCATTCATTTTGACATATCCCTTTCTGAATTATTGGTTCACTCACCCATCCATCCATAATAAAAACATCTCAGTAAAATGCTACCCTACCTTTGAATCTTTGTAATTGTCCCATAACTTGTAGTGCACTTATTAGTACAAGAAATCAACTCCATAGGGCAGTCATAATATTTATGTCTCACTTGTTCATTATAAACTAAACTCATTCCACATGATCTACACACCACTGTCCTGAACCRACACACCCTCTTGTGGTCCTCCACCTTTCTTCGTTGTATCTTCTCACAGCAGGTTGAATTAGGGCAGTTTTGTAGTTGAAAAGGGCAAGCCAGTTGATGTCTAGCAAGGTCACATAACTTTCCAATCCATTCACATCTTTCTTCTACATCAGAGGTTTGACCTGGAAACATTGTTGAACATGGTGAAGGGCTTTTTTCTGGTTTTCCTCACTCCTCAAAAATCAACTTCTAAGTTCTAAATTGACCTTTGAGCTTAAATCAACTAGTTTTGAGCTTAGCTCTGTTGTCAGATGCTTTTCAAAATTACAAAATTTTCAAAACAAAGGCATTTATYGATCTCTTTGGCCAATTTTCATCAAAATATCTAATTAAAGAGTTCAATTAAAATGCATAAAACGATTAGTTGTAAGGGCTTTYGTATTTATATATTAATAAATTATGTTTTGTAGGTTAAAACATGATATATTGGACATCCTCTTATATGTCATTTCCATAGCAACTTTAAAGGTATGTGTCCTCCTATGGAGTACAATTAACGGTTAATAATTGTACTCCTCTTGACCAATTAGAATCAAGTAATTTCTGGTAAAACAGATTTATAAGATTTAATGTACTAAGATTTATATTAGTTATATTTTCTAATTTCTTTTTCTTYGCTCACCATCTTCAACTCGAGGTTTTTTATTTGGTCCAGGTGCAATATTTGCATCAGATTGATCATTATTGTGACAAGAGACCTGTAGGTTCTCTATAATGCCTTTGATTGCAAGGTTATGCACAAGATCTTGCTCAGCAAGTGCAACATTATCCAGTGGACACTTGTTATGAGTCCTCAACCACTCACTGATACACACTCTGCAGAATGTGTGGCCAGATTTACAGCTCACTGGATCTTGAAATACTTCACGGCTGRAAAAAAAGGAACAAATATGTGTACAGTCATAGAAAACTTGCCTTTTTTGGGTCTTTGGTTTGATTCCTCAACTACAAGGGTACCAAAGAACAGKCCATACCCCTCCCCCATAGACTAAGAAAAGGCAGGTCATACGCCTTCCCCGATAAGATAAAAAAGAACAGGCCATACCCYTCCCCCATAGACTACCAAAAGACATGTTATACCCCTCCCCCGATAAGATAAAAAAGAATAGGCCATACCCCTCTCCCATAGACTAACAAAAGACAGGTTATACCCCTCCCCTGATAAGATAAAAAAGAACAGGCCTTACCCTAGTCTCCCTCGCACCCGTTTTTAGTGTCTAGCCTTCCCCTTCCCCCATAGATTAACAAAAGACAGGTTATACCCCTCCCCCGATAGGATAAAAAAGAACAGGCCTTACCCTTCCCCCATAGACTAACAAAATACAGGTCATACCATATCGAACAGCAAAGGTTTTCATCTACTGTACTCGTGAATATTTCTGTCTTGTAGCCCATTGAATGACAATTCCTATGAAAACTAAAATACAGGACAGGAAGTGTGGTAAACTTTACGATAAAGAAGCGCGTAATTGCATTTGCTCTGCTTTTTTCTGGTTCGCGCTAGTCTAGACGAAACTACGACATCATAGTCTTTCGGTCACCAATTCAAACGCTTCAAATGCAAACTAAAATGAATCATACTGTTAGATACAGTAATAAACTAATACAACAATCTTTCTAGGAATATATATATAACAATTTAAGGAAGAGAAAACGAGAAAAATAAAGGTTTTTACCTTCGATACTCAAGACGTTTTGTCTTGTTTTGCTCACAGAAATCGTCAAACTCCCAAGAGGCACGTGGGATGTGGGAACCAATCAGCGATTGACATGAACTTGACGCGGGAAAAAGCTGCAAAGTTTATTATATTTATTTGTTTGCGTTTTTTCCTCATATAGCATTAAAATAAATTCAAGCTACAAGCAAACCGACTCCAGAAATCGAAAGAGAATGTCTTATTTAATAACTACTGAAAATTTGAGAGTAATATATTCTCTTTCGATTTCAGGAGTCGGTTTGCTTGTAGCTTGAATTTGTTTTTATGCTAATGAGGAATAAACGTAAACAAAGATCGGCCTATAAGGTACGTGTTAGCGAGTAAATAAAGGAATAAATAGTAAAGATATAATAAGAACAAATAAAATAGATAAATGAAATAATTTTGTTTTGAAAAGAAGAATAAAAAAAATCAAAGAAAATGAAAGAATATAGAGACAGACAAAAAATATTAATATTAAAATAATATTGAAAATTAAAGATTATTAAAATTAAAGATTATCTGACTGAATAGATGAAAGATAAATATAAAAAGAGAGTCTGGAAATCAAAATGTAATAAGTGGAACAAAGGGGGGTCCCGGCCTGTGTGATCATTTTCTACCACAGGAACCCCGCTTTTCCCTTATTTGATTCCTGATTCCAGTCTTCGTTCGATATTTTTCGGCTGGTTTTGGAAAGCAAATAATAGGTCCTAAAACATGATCTCAATAGGTTCACCCGGTGGTTACGATAAACTTGAGTATAAAACCTTAAAAGATGGTAGTTTTACTGAGGGAGCGAACATAACATTGTCAAACATACCTGAAGAAGATCTCGTGGTTGTCAAGATCTTCGCCAGTGGAGTTAACTACGCAGATGTTTGTATCCGATGGGGACTCTATGAATCAGCGAAAAAGTATGTAGGATGGCCCATCACGCCTGGATTTGAATTCAGTGGAGAGATAATCTCTAAAGGATCCAATGTTAAGGATTTTGAAGTAGGGCAACAAGTTTTTGGTGTGTCATTATTTGGAGGGTACTCTCAGAGAATCAGGGTGCCCAAACAGCAACTTTTTCCTTTGCCTGACAAGCTTGATAAGTACCAAGCTGCTGGTTTCCCCACTGTTGCACTCACGGCATGGTATGCTATGTTTGAGTTAGCCCGACCGCGCCCAGGATCTTGGATACTTGTACATTCTGCCGCAGGAGGTGTCGGCAGTATGTTGGTACAGCTTGCAAAGATTGCTGGGTGTCAGGTGGTTGGCGTGGTGGGTGCTACTCACAAAGTGGAACCAGTCAAGCAGCTTGGTGAGTAAATAAGATAATCTTTGATGTGTTTCTCCATCTGCTAAGACAACTTCTTAGGGTATAATGCTCAGATCACTCAGACAGAACCCTGAAACAACCTCTGTGCTGATCTATTAAGACAGGGTATGTATATAATGATCATGTTAACTCACCAATACAACCCTGAAACAATTTCTGAGCTGATCTAAGTTTCTAAGTTTCACACAGATGTAACTATGAAACACCACTATGATTAATCAAGTTAAATTCATTTCATATAATATATCTATATAATATTTATATTTTGGGTTTTGTAGAGGGGGAAACCCAGTCAGAGAAAAACCCTCAAATCCACTCAGCATGCAGTCACATGACTGTGTAATGCTGAGTCTAGTAATTATTGCAAATTGTAATACATGATCACTAAACCACACATCTCTCATTTGCTAAATTGAGTTAACAATTATGTATCAACCTGCAATAAAACAACAATTGACATGGGAGTTTGCATTGTTAGGGTGTGACCATGTGGTTGACAAATCAAAAGAAGACCTGTGGCCTAGGGTAACAGACCTCTCGCCCAGTGGATATCATGCAGTATTTGATGCCAATGGAGTTGCAACATTAGTGGATAGTTACAATCATCTGGCACCTGGTGGCAGACTAGTAGTGTATGGTATGTTGGTTAGAGTGGTTTCACTGCAGCCATGTTGAAGGGCAGGAACATTACGATGTCTTTGCATCTGACAAGATATTCTATTTCCCATGAAATTAGAACATTTCCATTGTCTTGCTCAACAAACTGGCTGCTATACACCATGTATATCAGAGCACRCCATGTATATCAGTGAAGCCAAAACAAAGATGTACAGTTGTGCAGTTGCAGCTATTTATCATTATCATAGCTAGTAATTGTTTATCGGATATGGCATGCCACTCTATATTAACCCCATGACTTTTTCTTCAAAAGACCTTTCCCGAATTCTCTTGGATGACCACGAAACAATGGTTTCAAGTCCAGGTTGAACTTGATGAATAAAAGAATCAAGTTCAGTCTTGACTTCCAACCATTGTCTCCTGATTGTCCAAGAGAATTCGGGAAAGGTCTATTCTATAAAAAAATAAATAAATATATTTCTTTAAATCTATCTCATCAGGATTTCACACCATGTTACCTCATTCAAGTGCTAGCGGTTCTGGTGGTCTTGGGATATTTAACTGGCTCCAAATGGCTTGGAATTATCTCCGTACACCAAGTTTCAATCCACTTGAGGTAAGCAATCTTATTTTTATATTTTCCTTTGTATATAATTTAAAACTGTTTTTATTTCCATAACAGATGACAACCAAAAACAGAAGTGTAATGGCATTCAWCCTCAGTTTCATGTTTGATCGATTGGATATATTGGAAGAAGCAATGACACAGTTACTGGGGTGGGTGGACAAAGGAGTTCTTAGGGTGGGTAGGGTGAGTAATTATCCTCTACAGGGGGTGGCACAGGCTCATCGGGACTTGGAGTCTGGGCAAACTGTGGGTAAACTAGTGTTGACAATGGGTGATGAGGTAATCTGATTTTATCATCACATCACCACCATCATCACAACCCATCATCACCAGCAATGATATCACAGCCCATCACCTCATCACAGCCCAGCACCTCATCACTGCCCATCATTGCCACCTGTCACCACCCATCATCACCATCCATCACTACCATCCATTATCACTCATCATCACCAACCATCACCTTCCATCATCAACACCCATCATCACCATCCATCACCACGCATCATCACCATCACCATCACCTTCCATCACCACCTATTGCCACCCATCATCAACACCACCATCACCCATTGCCACCCATCATCAACAGTGACCCATCATCACCAATCACCATCCATCACCAGGGTCCACTACCCATCATCATCACCCTTTACTACCCATCATAATCATCCATTACCACCACCCATCATCATGAAACATCACTATCTATCACCAGCACACATCATCAACACCCATCATCATCACCCTTCACCATCCAGAATCACTATCCATCACCACTCATCATGACCACCCCTCACCACCCATAGTTTAAATTACCACAGCTTATTAAAATAATTTTTATTCTGAATTTCAATAAATAAGTTTTTTTTCAAGATCAATAGTAATAAAAGTAACAGTTAAAAAACAATAAATATACAGCAGTTTTGATTTTCATTTCAAAAAAATTCCTCCTTTTATAATTTACAGATATTTACACAAAATAAAACCAAAATATTTCATAAGTACGCATTTTGAGAAAAAAAATCAACTCAACTACAAAGTATGTATTATAGTAAAATGCAACTAAATTCAAATATGAAAGTACTGCTTGTCACTCTATTGTACAACACGCGATAGAGTGCAAACAATTAATCCGTGAAACACTAAATACTCAATAGTACAAAATAGTACTAATTAAACAATAGAAAACAATGGAATTTGCATGAAATTGTGCTAATTAGTATTACTAAAGTTTCACGGATTTACTGTGGTCACTCTAGTTAGTTTCGATAAACTAGTACTAACTAAATAGTCATTTTTCTTTCACGGGCTAAATAAAATCACTCTACTTGAACATAATTTTCTGCTCTAAAGTGTTTTGATAGAATAGTAAAAATTTAATGTTAGACTTAACCATGTTACTTATTCTTATCATTATTATAATAGACCATTTTTTAATGTCATCATAATATATCACCGCTGGGAATTTTTTTTAAAAAATTTAAAAAATTTCTATGAACAAGAATAATATTAAATATATGCAAAAACGCACATGGTATCAGTTCTTGGCACTCTTTCTACAAAACTTTTTTTCCTAGATTTTTTTACATCTCAATTTTTAAAATACTGCTATTTTTCTCAGAAAACAGCATTCAATTACAATCTGACAGTTACATGTATATATTACATTAAAATTGAAATTGTCTATCAAGAATTTCTCAATCTGGCTGAAAGTTAAAAAAGTACGAAATCAAAATATTTGAATTCATTGATATATTAATATTTGAATTTTGTAAAAGGAATCAAAATCCAAACAAATTTTGCTCAAAATGTTTCATTTGTTTACAACCTTTTTGTTAATTAGTATTTAATGCCATGTAATATGATTATTGAATTTATTTAACAATTGGCTTACTAGTATATTGATTATAGGGAATATTAATGTGATGATTTATCTGTCACAATGAGGACTTGGCATCCATTCTGTTGTAAAATAGGATGTATGCTTGTGGACCTCCTATTCGAGAAGCGGGGATATTGTCCACACTAGAAGGGAATGAAAATCATTAGATAAATAGTTTGTAACTTAAGATTCGAGCTGCCTAGCACCTTGCTCTGATTGACTTTCAGGATCTGTTAAAAACTATATACAGAGTGACAATAATTTAATACTCATCCTGATTAAATTTCAATTCATGTTTCCAACTCAGAGAATAGCAAACCACTCACCATTGCAGCAGTTTTCCCAGTGGAATAATAAAATCTTGCCCCACAAACAACTAACAATATATTTTTTTAAATACTACTGACAAGGATTTACTGTGGAGACAATTTTCTTTTTTTTTCTTAGGACATGAAAACAAGGAAGTAATTTAAGATTCATTTTCTGCAATCAGAGATATTCGAGCTAATTTGTTGAGCTTGTGAGACATAGCAATGGTGACTAAGGGGAGTCCGAACTATGAATTAGTTTACCACTCTAATATAGCAGAAGGAGATTTAAAAACACTTTTGTAGAGAAAGGAAAACAGGGGAATGTGGAAAAAAAATATCAGCATTGAGAAGTAGTACACCAGCAGTCCACATGCAATTGTGCTTCGAATCACTGTACAGTCAAACCTTGTATAGTTAGCCTTACCTGGAGTCATTAAAGCAGTGCCATTCGTTGCTCAGTGGGTGCTTACAATAAGCAGTGTAGTGACCACCATATGTAGTCCCAGAATGGTTAGACACAGCATACAGGCTATAGAGAGCCATTTTACTATCTGGAATACAAAAAATATTTCTTTCGGGATTGTGCCCTTCTGCAGATTAGGAAACTTATTGGATGTTAAGTAAGAGATGGACCATTAGATAATTAGGGGGGGTTGCATAAACCTCCCAAAAGATATCAAGCAAGCGCTTCACCTACGAATAAAAAATTGTGCAGTTTGGAGGGGTTGTTACCAAAAGATAAATGTTGTGCAACATAAATCCTTCACCCCCCCAAATCATCTAATGGTCCAACAAAATTCCCCTTCCTTTCTGTATTGGCTTAACAACAGATTTGCTTGAAATATTGAAAATATTGACAAGAATGAACTGTGATCTTGTTTCAAGTGCAGATGTACATCATTGACTGTATAGCCAGTAAACTGGACTACTTACCAGTATTGTCTGATGCAAACTCTTTGAGATCCAGTTTTGTGTCTGTTGGAAAATCGACATTGGTTTGTAACTTGGACCGAAAACCAAATCCTGAAAAGCGTTTGAGATCTAACACTGGTTAAGGCAGATGAAGTCAACAAATTGTAACAACATGCAGACACTTGATGGCAATAGCAAAGAATATTTGCAGATCATAATATATATATATATACAGCCGGTATTTGAAAAGGAGTTTTAATGATTGATTTAAAGGATACGAAGAACTAGGATTTGAGGAAATCTTTGAATTGTGAATTTCTTGGTTGACTTTCTTTTTTTCTTGCATTTTTCACACGTCTAAAAGTAAACAAAACTTCATTTTAAAGCAATAAATATTAATAAATCAACTTTAAATCTTCAGACTACACCATATACTTGATAGTTGCTCTATATAATTATCTATTTTTAACATTTGCTAAAAGTGACAAGAGTGCCATCTTAAGTAACTATTCCTCCACGCCACAGTTAATATCTAACAATTTGCAGATATATTTTTAGAGTTTTACAGCACGACTACTTCAACCTAAGCCACCTCAACAAATTTTCTACAAATTAGCCAATCGAAAGTAGGAATCTGAATTGCTACAAATTGGACAAATGTCCTATGGGTTTACACGGCTGAGAAGACTGCCGGCACTTTTGTTGTCAAATATAAACGTGCTGTCGCTTGTCTAAATACTCAAACACTATTGAATAATTTGTAGAAAATTTGTTGAGGTGGCTTTGGTTGGAGTAGTTGCACTGTAAAAGGTAGCTATGATGTTCTGCTTATAGACATTTTGAGACCATGAGTGTTGGTGCTAGGGCATGAAGCCATGACATCTCACACAACAGAATTGAAGCTCAAGCAATCACGGCACCGACAAGGTGATGCAATATACATACCGGTCGCTCATCGCCATCCAATACTTCTTCCTTAGCAAACAGTTCCATGCAGTTTTGTATACTTATGCTTTTACTCTCATAAGAACTGTATGACGAACTAGATTTCTAAAAATAAAAAATAGAACAGAATTACTCATAAAATTAATGCAAAGTAAATGTTTTTGCATCATGTTTTTATTTATTAATTCTAAAACTGCTGTTTGACTAATGCACCTTAAAACTAGTGAACTTACCCTTGGGATAGGAAGAGAAAGATCCCAGAAAGGATCAAACGTTACAGACTTGTGACCACATTCTGTGCACTTAAGGGTGCTCTTGAGCTGTCCTACGAACAAGTCTGTTGCAAAGGAGACAAAATATTTTAGAACACAGGGCAAAATTTTCACCATTTATATTTTCAAATTTAATTGTTGTTCTTGCCCAATAATGTGACTGCTTAAAATGAAAACCTGCTATGGTGACATACAGGGGAAGTATTTTTAAAGATCAATATAAACTATCTAATTATTTATTAAGACATATTTTTGATGGTTTTTTCCAGGACTCAAGGGTTTCTAGAATTTCTTTCTTCCACGAAACCCACTTTGATCAGTCAAAAGGTTGTTTTGAGGGTTTAATCTGTGAGTTAGCTGTGCCCTGTATATTAGATCAGCCCCTGGAGACTCCAGGGTTTGATCTGTGAGTTRRCCATGCCCTGACTTWGATCAGCCCAGAGGTTGTTTCAGAGTTACTTTGATCTGTGAGCTGACCATGCCCTGACTTAGATTAGGCCAGAGGTTGTTTCAAGGTTGGATACAATTGAGAAATGTATTGTAGACTTCACCTGTTATTTTGCTATTATCTCTTGCAAGGTACTGTTTCCAGGACTTGTCAGCCTTTTCAGTGTCACTACAAAAGTATTACAATATCACTAAATATAGTCACGAGTGTACATCAAAATCCACAGCAATACCCCACAAATCACTATATAAAAACTTCTTCCTAATGGGTCATTTGCATCATGACATCACTTAATTCCAACTACTGCCAGAATGCTTCGTGAATTTTCTTCCATAAACAGCTATTCCAAAAAAAGTCTAGGTAAAAATTTTGTGGCAGAGAACAACATCTGGCCATCACATGTTTGTGGGTGGCGTAGTGGCTTACTGCTCAGYTCTCACCGCTATGGTCCAGGTTTGCATGAGCCCAGGCTCAGATTGGATCATATGTGAGTTGAGTTTGTTTGATGTGTTGTTCTCTTCCTTGCCACGAGGGTTTTTTCCTGTTTTCTCCCTCCGTAAATATCAATAAATATTGTTTTAATATTTATGTTTGTCTGGCATAAATACTCCTAATATAGTTCATGGTGGCACAAATTACAGTGGCATCCTAGTATATTTCATAATCTTGGTATAATTGTATTAATAACAGGGTAAGAAATAAATCCGACCTTAGTAAATAGTTTCGCCCTGTAGGTAAGATAAGTTACGATGAGTGCTCTTGGACCGATTGCACTCATCATAAGTGCCAGCTATTGTAACGCACTGATGGTAACCTGTTTTGGAGAGTTCAAATTTCGCTTGCACTGACCGTGAGTGCAAAGGCACATAACTAGGTTATGGTTAGTGCATTTCAGAACCATTTCCACTTACCATATGTGCTTTTTTAATAAAATTCGCTTGACTCCCTCATTAGCACAACTTTGGATGACGGGATCCTATATTACTTTTATAATAGCGCATTTAACACATTTGAGATCGGTCCACGAGCAAAGTTTAACTCGGATAAACAAGTAAATATATTTTGGCCAATACATTTTCAAATAAATGATCGTTCAACATAAACTTTGACGTCTTGTTTACCTGGGAAATAACGATATTAAATAAGACTTGCACGATTATGATATTTAACTTTCGGAGGACATTATTATCACGGCAGCAATCATAAGAGTAAAAATTTGATGATTGTCAGAAATTCTTATGGTCGGTGACTCTCTGTTAGACTTTGTGAGATATTTTGCTTTGTCTTCAGCACTTACCGGCGGTCACGTTCTCACGTTGCACTGACGGTAAGTGGGTAGAGATATGTGTAGGTTATCGTAAGTGCAAAAAGAACAAGCTCCACTTACCACCAAGTCGCTCGTTCCGCTGAAGTCTCTACATTCCTTCTATAAACTAAAAAGATCCATACTTGCTGGAACGAAATATAAGTTAAAGTGACTTCCTTTGCTTTTTTTTCATGATTGCTTGAATTCGTCTCCAATTGATAACTTGGTAACATTACTAGTAATTTTTTTTGGTTTCATCCTTAAATCAGTCACTCATTTTGGCGACAAAAAATCAATAGCTTTCGTCGGAAAGACTTAATTCCAGATTTTCCCGTGAAAGTAACCGAACTGCTTTAGTGTTGAGGAAACAATTCTTAATCGAAAAATCCACAACAGTGAACTCTGAACTCCTCGTAAATCAGTTTTGTGTTTACAACACACGGTTAACAGGAAACCGATCACATTAGCACCACTGACAGCATTAAGGCGGAATGTCAAGCGGCTGTCAGGACTGACAGCATGATCTTTGGTATCTTTGCTTTGCTTCTCTTTGCTTTTCCTTTTAGGATCACAAAGCAACATGGAAAGTCCCAGTATTAAAAAAACAGTTAAAGGCTAGTTGTAAACGCACTTGTAAATAACAAAAGATATAATGGCAAACCGTTTCAGAGGACTTCATATGTTTGATTTTGTATGGTCTCATTGCAAGTACGCTTCGCTGGTCCTCGCTCAAGCCATACCTGATAGTTAGTTTATAAAAAGAGGTCGAAACCATCTCTGGCCCTCATGGCATTTGCAAATAAAGCAGCTTCTGTTGGTTTTTTCCTCGGCCATTTCGGCGGAAAATGCTTTGAAATTATTATCGTTGTTGACCATCTTCAAAAGCGTTAATTTAGCTAAAAGCATAGTTACTGTATAGTTTCTTTTCAGTCAGTTGTCGACGTAAAATAAACTAACCACAAATAAATATGTACTATTACGACGATATATTATGAAACATTTGCACGTTAGCGTTAGCGATACATAGCTAATTAACATGATCCGGTCCGTGATCAAATTTCACCGCAACTCACTRTCGCGCCAAGAACCATATACTACGTGACAATGGATCACCTACAGCTAGCTTTTGCTTTCTTGCTAAAAAAWTCTTGCAAGGAAAGATTATTGATACAAAATATGCTGGTGTTTTAATCTTATGATTGAATTGATTTTTGTTGTTGCTCCAAATGGCGTGAAAGTTCGACATTGCGTGAGATGGAGGAGGAAATAAGGAAACAAGATAAAATACTAATGGCGCACGGAAATGCCGGTAGCTTTTATACTTATTAAAGAAAGTAAAGTAAGGGACTAGATACCGTACGAGTATTTTTGAAGCGTTCATAACTTGGAGAAGCCTTTTAAAAGGCAAATAGAAAATTCTCAGGTTGCGCCCGTTCGAAGACTATGTTAATTTCCTTCGCATTGAGTTAGTTTTTTTCCCGCCTAGTGATTATTATTATAAAGCAGGGTTATCAAGGTTACCAGAACACTTCTCATGTTTGTCATCTCTAACGTCTAAAATTACCTGATATACAAATTCTACTCAAATTATGCGTCTTTGACAGGCTTTTAGCAGAAAATGCGTAAGTGGCATCTAAAGGGATTTTTTGCGCAGAATGTGCTAATGGCCCGTACTTTAAGTAGAACATGCTTATATTGCCGGTTTTTACGCTTGACGGATTTGTTTTGACACTACGGATTTTCACTGACAGTTGCTCATTATTATTTCGCAGGTAAAGAAGACGTCAAAGTTTTCTCAAATAATCTAGGTTGAACGATCATTTATTTGAAATGTATTTGCCAAAATGTATTTGCTCGTTTATCCGAGTTAAACTTTGCTCGTGGACCGATCTCAAATGTGTTAAATGCGCTATTATAAAAGTAATATAGGATCCCGTCATCCGAAGTTTGTATTTTCTAAGTATTAAATTAACTATTCTAATTCCAAAGTTGTGCTAATGAGGGAGTCAAGCGAATTTTATTAAAAAAGCACGTATGGTAAGTGGAAATGGTTCTGAAATGCACTAACCATAACCTAGTTATGTGCCTTTGCACTCACAGTCAGTGCAAGCGAAATTTGATCTCTCCAAAACAGGTTACCATMAGTGCGTTACAATAGCTGGCACTTATGATGAGTGCAATCGGTCCAAGAGCACTCATCGTAACTTATCTTACCTACAGGGCGAAACTATTTACTAAGGTCGGATTTATTTCTTACCCTGTTTAATATGTATTTTTTAATTAGTATTAATACCTAAAATACCTTAGCAAGTCATTGAATTCACAGATCTTGTACTTTGGTTTGTCATGAACTGAGTTCAGGTCGTCATGGAGACCCTCTAATAGAAACCTTAAGAATTCCTGGGCATCCTGTTGGCTGGAAACAAAACGAAACAGTCATGACAAATTATAGCAACTCAGGGGTTTTATTCATGGGTGGCTTTAATAATGCTGTTGAGAGGAAGGAGAGTAACAAACAAGACTGTTTTGGGCAGTTATTATTAATCAATGGTACGTGTACTTTCTGTGACCTACTTGTATCCAACAAAACGAGGAGCAAATCTTTGGATCTGTGTCTTGAACGAGTGAGGAGAAATGGCTGTCTCAGAGTGAGATGGTTTCCACATGGATTTGATAAGTTCTGCATAAGCTGAAACAGAAGTTATACTACAGTAAGTAAAATTCTGTTAATATGATTTATATAAAAACAGGGCTTAAAATGTGTGATATCACTCAGGATTGTGCTCAGCACATAGTTACAGAAACAACATGGCATATGGTAACATTGGCTAACATGGTTTGCCCAAAAGAATAGTTAACTGTACAAGTGGGAAACCTACATGTATGGTACTTACTTAAAGCACATACACAGTACTGTATACTGAGTAATATTGAAATAGCTTCTCATATCTATTAGTAACCTTTTTTTCTTTACCTTGTACCAGTTTGCCCTTCATACTGCTTCTACTATTGATTTGTTTTGTATAAGACCCTTTTAACATATATTCTGTAAGCACCATTGACTGACTTAGACACTGAAGAATGGAGTTCATAAAGCACTGCAAAACAAAGTGAAAGAAAAAGATTTATGTTAAACTGCTATTAAATCCTTAATAAAGGTTTATAAAATTATCTGTGATTAGTTTTTACAATGATCAAAACTATTACTTCCTTCTATAGTTGTGATTTGCCCATTGGAATTTGGTCTCTTAATGTCAGCAGTGAAAAATACAGGTATGGACTGCTTACTGTAGTCTTATTGACGGCAGCAAAAAAATAATTTTAGCATGCAGCACACAACTATTAAYTTTGCATGTTTATGAATTAATAGCAGTAATTAAGTCATAAATATTATCTTGTTATTCTTACTGTGTTTCCAAGATTTCGAAGTCCAATCAACCCATCCAAACATCCTCGACCATTTGGCTATTAAAATAAAGAATTGACATAAACATTTATTAACGTAATGATACTGATGGAATTAACACAGTGGAATAACTTCTAATTTATTATATATGTACTGTTGTGTTAGTGGATTTCATTACTGGATTCCTTATTTTGTTGGTACAATACTAAGGTGGGCTTACAGATACTTCACATAATAATGAAAAGATTGTTTTGTGGTTGGTTTGATACTGAAAACTTTCCATTATTGCACCTGCATTAATTATTATAATAGTTTTAACCAAGCAAAAAGTATAAAAATATACTCTAATAAGACAAGCTAGATTCAATTTCCAATAATTACCATTTTCGAATTCAGACAATAAACTGCAGCTGTGTTCCTTGATTACAAAGTTGCTTACTCAGTTATAGCCTCATTTCAGCATTAAAGTTTCAATAAATACCAATGGTAAAGTAAAGAATGCACAACTTCAACAATACAAACACTCTGAAATTCCATGAAACTTCACTGGAACACATGAATATTCTACACAGAATTGAGGGTAACCCTAAGCAACAGGGAACCTAAAAATGAAATATTTCTGGCTGTATTGACAGTCTCTTAAAATTCTTCTGGTTTATGCAGAAAGACATTAACCTTTGACAAAAGGATTTATGCTAGGAATTAAATAATGCTATTATTCAAATATGTTACCATAAAACTTTCAACGCTTCATTCCTAATAGTAATGCTATATAAGTAAAATTGAAATTTTCAAAACCAAGTGAAGTTTTTGTCCTTAAAGTAATAAGGACTTCATCAGAAATCAAGTCACATGTTACACAATCCTATGAGTAGTTTATATTTAATGCATTTAAAATAAGTTACAGTATTCTATATTTCAGGCAATACAACCTTCTAAAATATGCATAATACTTACACTTAATGTTGATATTAACCAAAAATAAACATTTAATAATGCCCTGTAGATATATCTTGCCGAGGTTGGAATACTTTCCAAATTTTTACACATTTGATTATAGGAGCTACACATCCCCCATATACATTTATAGTGTCAGCAATTCAAAAAGCATTGTTTGTGTTAGGTGGTGAACATGTAAACGGATAAGAGAGAAATGGAACAATTATACATAATGGTTGTTATGGCAAACTGAGTTAAAAAAGCCTTGCCACCAGTTAGCCAGTGACAGGTACATGAATATATCTAATAACTATAATGTTATATTAAAAGTTGGATATTCTAGAACACTTTCAACCAAAAAAAAGCTAAAAGCAGAATATAAAAAAAAAAAAACACATAAAAACACTTTATAAAATAAGGAGGATTTGCTCCATCACATGTTGGCAAGCATGACATAAAGCACAACAGGAGTCTTTTTTCTAAAAACTAAATGCTTTCTTATGCACATCACGGATTAGACCAGGTTTAATTGTTCCTGGCCTGACTCCTGTCATGGTTGCCATCAAGTGATGGTGCAATCCTTTATTATAACATTTGATGAGAAAAATAAGTTATTTTATAGTTTTTTATATTATCAGTTTTTTATATTCTAAATTTAACAAATAACTTGAGTGAATATTTTTCCTTGTCTTAATCTATTACAAAAGGAATACAAATATAAAATGTGTATATTTATATATTCATATTTTTTATGCACGTTTTTTGAGACAACAGCTGGTTTGAAATTTAATTTGCACCTTTGTATACAAAATAATACAATAAAGATGAAAGCAAAAAACGTACATAAACCTTTTAAAATGTTTTGGAATTTAAATATATGACTTAGGTTCATTATATTTTAGTATTTTGGGATGGAAGAAAAAAGGAATGAAAAAAACTTGTTGTCGCGTGTATGAAACTGTAACAATTCTAAATCACTTTAGACTGGATTGTTTTCAAGACAGCTTTGTAATTTTAGCACTTAATTAATGTCAACCAATTGCTAAATTCAACATCCTCTATTAACCGCAATTAAGCCATTAACTTAAACTAAAAAATATTAAAGAATAAAGGATAAAAAACTCACCGTCGAAGGCGAAGAACTTGATGTCGAACTTTTAGAATTTCTTCGTAGTGATGTTGGAGTTGCTGAAATCATTTCTTTGCGATTCTCGTTGTAGTCTAGGATGACGCTCCGATTTTTAAAACTTGGAGAAGTATTTACAATACTATTTGGGCTGGAAGATTTGGTAGAAGTTGAAGAAAAATGATTTGTACTCCGTTTTGAAAGATCAGAATCGTCGGAGTAACGCGAATGATGATAAATGTTATGATTCTCGTCCAAGTTTGTGATATTTTCTAAAGTGTTAGTTCTATAATCTGTTCTTGTAGTACTAGAAGGAATAGGTTTAGAGATGTAAGAGGTTTTAGAAGTCGATGGGTTGTCTTTTATGGAGAGTTCACTAAGAGAGGACGGATCCAAACTGGAATGAGACTTGGATAATTTTCGACATGTTGCTAATGTTGAACTACTCGGTGAAGAATCGTGACGGTTTTTAAAACTAGAAGAACTACCATAACCAGAATCATTAGACGTCTTCCTTTCGACTGTACTCTTTTGGTATGAGCTGGTTTTAACAGGGGAATAAGCTGTAGTTTTGGAATATCTGTCGTCGGATTTTCCAAACTGCGAAACATACCGAACGTCGCCATTAGTAGTACTCGCGTGTCGGTTGAAGTTAAACTTGTCTGGCAGAGGCCCTGGACCTTTAGGAAGTATTCTAGACCTCGAAACGCTAGGCGACCTGTAGGAAGAGCCATATGTTGTTGAATTAAGAGATCTTTGAAATACAGAGCTGGTTGAACCACTGGTTCCCATGGCGTAGTTTCTTGTCGTTCTGCTGGAAGAACCACTTACTCCTGTCGTTCTGTTCTCGTATGAAGGCGGATTCCCTCTAGAATGAGATCCATACATAGTCAGATTCATTGGTGAATGATTGGACTACGTGCTAATTCCATTAGGCTGGAGAATTATTAAGTATTAGCGTAGTAAAAAGACGACAATCTCGGACAGTTTGCTTATCCTAGCATAAGCTGTTGCGGCCGCCATAACTAAGTGACGTCACGTGGATTTGCATGAAACCGTGTGGTCGTCATAGAAACAAGAAAACAGAAATGAGTTCTAAAGAGAGAGACTGGGCCAACCATCTAAAAAACGAGGAAGTAAAATATCACCACAATTACAAGAAACCCATTGTATAAGTTTTCATAAATATTCTTAAAATTGAAGAAAAGAGCAAAACTTCCTTTGAAAAAACTGATTCATACTAATATTCTAGGGTTCTTTAAAAGATATGAATATTTACAGAATCTTTTTTGTATTACTTTTTTAAATATATTTACAAATGCGAAGTTTGGCTCCCTGTGGTAAGATCGTAGTAAAATTACTGAAAATAGGAAGAGCGGAAATGAAAGAAAATGAAAGGAATATTTGACAAAAACACGATCAAAAGAGTGGGGAGGGAGCCAAAATGAAAGGAATGAGGGAGGGGGAAATACGTGGAGGCGTTAAGGATGCAAAGACATGGAAGTAAACATCAATATTGACTGTTAGTCAAAAATAAAAGAGAAACAAATTGAAGAAATGTAAATAGATAAAGTTGTAGTTCAGTTGCACCTACTCAAATGRCCTGTCAGAGATGTACAACAGCTGCATCAGGAAATAAAGCAGGGCATGGAAATATACAAAGTTGATAAAATAAAGAAATAAAAAGCCACAATCTCATTCATGTTTAGTAAACAAGATTACATTTTACCAAGACAAAAAATTTTCAAGGAGAAAATGAAAATGTGAAGTTGAATTGGGAAGGAAGTATTCCAGTTTAAAGTCATATACAAGGTAATCTAAAATAAAACACTTGCTGGTAATACAATCTGGTTATTTATCTTCCTATTACACGGGTGATGTTTACGTTTACGTTGTTCCTTTGAGATAAAAGGGGGGAAATGTAAAATTCCATTAATATTTTCATCCTCTTAGTTTGGATTTATATTTTTTTCCTTTTTTCATCGTTAAAATTGTATTCATCRTTTGTTTATTTATATATGTTTATGTTCTACTTTCGATTCAATTTCAGTGAAAACTTTTTTTTTCGCATAGGACGGTAAAATACTTTTTCATAACTTTTAAAATTACTCGTATTTATTACTAAACATAGAAATATTTCTCAGAATATACGCTAAAAGAATAAATACATCCTCCTTACACCAGGCGTTTTAACATATCTTAAAGCATTACCACCCGTTTTATTAATTTTCAGCTTTGACGTTTAAGTCAATGAATCCAGCCTAAATCGTAACTGTTTCCTATATTTACTCTATCCGGGGGAATCACGGGATAAGTTTTTCAAAATGACGAAATTAATAATATCACGGATGGGAAAGTCCCTTTTTACGAATTACTCTAATCTGATTGGTCGAGCTCTCCTTAGTGCTAAAAATAGTTCATACGTGATAGTTCCTCTTATGCTAATGAGGTATATTAGAAATACAGGGAGTAAAAGTGCGTTGCAGAACCAGGCTAAAAGTATACGGATATTTCGGGATTGAATAAGATAGGAGTATATAACAATGGTGAACTCTAGTAGTGAAGGAGACGTTTGTAAGTCACTGAGTGACAAGGAGCCATATCTTACGCTCAAYCCAAAACAGCTAGAAGAGCTATCAACTTCCGGCTTTAGTGAAGAAAGGAGAAGCTTGAAGGAGAGCATTAGGAAAAAGCTTACTGCTCGAGTTTTTCCCATGACAAGAGATACAAGAAACCACATTGAGAACTCACAAGGAATAATAAGTGGAAATTTGCAAAAACGACCAAGCTCAGAAGGAGTACTCGTACACTCTAGTGGAGTTGATTCTACGATAATAGAACGAAGAGACTCGGTTATAAAGACAGAAAAACCTGATATTTCTGTATCTAAGGCAAGCAGGGAATTGGAAAAGGTGAATTATAGAAAGCATAAGATTTACAAAGACAATCATTTGGAGCCGCAGTCAAAGCAGATTCGTATCTATTCGCCTAACAGTTTACCYCAGCAAGACAGTAAGTAACCAAAACCCAAAACTACACCTTTAGCAAATCACAAAAATTTCCAGTCGTTCATAATCGATCTATTATATCAAAAATTGTTCTAGTGCAACATGGAACGATTTATTTGGCTAAAAAAGGAGATAAAGTTTACAAGCTGGRCTTGTCAACTCAGAGCGGAATAAAAGCCATTTTAGGATACATTCATTGGTAATTTCATAACTTTTACTTTCGAAGTAAATTTCGTTCACGTTGTTTTTCTTTTCTTTCTACTATCGTATCGAAGACACGTTTTGGAAAGAAAGTTTTAAAGGAAAGTTTGTAAGGAATAAAAAAGGTAAAATCCCTAAATGCGTAGGAGCGATGACCGGTAGTAAACCGAACTAGGGGAACCCCCTTTTGACACAGGAAGCCCAAAGGCATGAAATTGCTATTATTGTCTACCGGGCTTTTATGCACTTTAACGAGAAATCTTATATTTCGTTAAAGATACTCTATCAATGAGACGAACACCTGTTACCTCTGAACCAAGACTACTGGGTGATAATGTAGCCACACTGAGTCTTCTGACTGCTTCGCAAGGACATTTGGCTACTCTACAAGATGATGACGGAGACACGTAAGCAGCATAATAATAATGATGATGATGATGATAATGATGATGTTGATGATGATGATGATGATATGATATGATGGTGATGATACATGTTGATGGTGGTAGTGCTGGTAGCCTTGATAACAATGATGATAATGATAATGATCAAAATGTTATAACAATTAATGTTAGTGTGTAGTTCCAGAAATTATCCATACTCCCCCACAGAGGACTTTTTTTTAAATTCCAATATTCTCTCATACGAACTCTGTAATTTCGTTCTTTCTCTGACCCCTTAATTCCCCCCACCCCTTGGAAAATCCAAATTCCTTCAGAGGGTGGGGGCAGGGGATATGGATAAATTATGCTACAATATTTTGATGAGAAAATATCATTTACAATTAGTGTACATAAATAGTAAATAGTAACTATCATTATATTGCAGGCCATTACACATTGCCATTGCACAGGGTCAGGTGCCTCTAGTTCAATATCTCATTCATATTGCATCAACWTCTGGCATTTCATTGGACATTTACAATAAAATGAAACAAGTAAGAAGCAATATGTTTTATTTGTTTAGCTGATTTCATGTTATAGAAAATATTCTATAAAACACCACTCAAATGGGTTCTGGAAATACTCTGAACCAATATTATCATCACCATCATCATCATCATCATTTATAATCATCATCATCATCAACATCACCAAAAGTAACGAGTAAAATTTGACATGGAATCCATTTAAGTGTATAAACTAAAAGTACCCTAGCTATTTGTTTCCATCAATAGAATCCTTTATTTTATTGATATTAATGTATTTTTTCTTACTAAATTTAATTAATATCCATTATTGTGTACCACACCCCTCTAAACTTTGATATCATTATTCTTTACCCAGACTCCTCTGCACCTTGCAGTCATAACAAATCAGCCACTTGTAATCAGRTTTCTTATTGCCGCTGGTGTTGATATCAACATGCCTGATAGAAATGGGCAGACAGCAATCCATCTTGCTTGTCAGCGCTCAAGCGTAGAGTGCCTAATGGAGTTGGTCAACTCACACATGGCTATTAATCTGGAGTTGAAGAACTTTAATGGATTTACACCATTGCATGAGGCAGTTATATCGAACAGTCCAGAAGTGATTAAATTCCTTGTAGCATATGGAGCAAATGTTGATTGCAAGGTAATAACTATAGTCTATAAAGCTTATGGCAAGATTAAGGTTGCTACTTCATGTATATCAGCTCTAAAGAAATTAATGCATTGATGTTCACATTGCTTTGGTTTTCAAAAGTCTTATGCTTCAGTTCTTAAGGAACAAGTTAAACATGAAGTATTAGCCTCTTTCTGTTATTGCAGAAGGGTGGGCYGTACTCATTATATTCTTTGTTTGTCATAGCCATAATGGTGGTGCTGAATGAAACATATTTCTCATTCATTAATTTATTTTACCCTGTCTATCAACCAACATGGCCACCATTTCTTCAAATTTTGATGCTCAAAATGATTGCAAACCTGATCTGACGGTATTTATTTGATATGTTACAGGATGGCAAGGGTGGACGCACACCTCTGCACTATGCGGTAGAGTTAGAATTACTACCAGTCATTCAATTATTAATGAATTCTGGAGCTAATGTCAATGCTGGATCATTCTCTGGCAACACACCAATACAAACAGCCAGTGGGCGAGGTTTGCATCATGTTACAAAGCTGCTACTGGGAAATCTTCAAGAAGCTTCAGGAAGAGAAAGCAGGCATGAGTCTAGTAGATATAAGGTATGGTAATAGGCTTATAATAYTTACCAAACACAAACCTACCTGCATGTACTAATCCTTCTYGCGCCTAAATGGCACAAAACACAGTATAAACTTACAATCAAGTAGTAACTTCAAAATTATSTAATGAAATCTTTAATTCCCTTCTATGGACATTTTAAGAACTTAATACCCTCCTGAGACCCTCTCCACCTCTTAGAAATTCCAATCCYCCTCTACATTCTCTGGAACTACACAAGCTTTTGAATATACTCTCCTCYGACACATTGAATTYCCATCCCTTGGCAATTCCAATCCCCTCCGCATTTTCTGAAACTAGGGTGGRAATAATGATATTTTATGGAGTTAATGCAAAAGAAGGATAATAATTTTTCATGATTTTTTCCCTTCAACAGTTAAAGAGTACATCAACCTGGAAACAATAAATGCATATCATACAAGAATATTTTCTGCATAGCTAGTTAGGATATATACACTATGGGCATTGAATGTCATATACAAATTATATTTATATCAAGAAAAACTAATTAAGAATACAGTATCTACCTACTACTAGGTTCAACATTAGCTCCAAAAGGAATGTCTGAATAATATTGGATTTATCAATCATGATGTACAGAATTTTTTTTAGAACGTTTTATAAATTAACAATTCTTCATATATATCAATACAGTCGTGTGAATTTTGTAAATCAGTATTTATACGTATCTCTGACTGATTTAGTTATTTGGCTATAGAARTTATTTTTCATAGGTTGCATTTTTTACCAAAACATTAATGTTAGTTTTTCCTTTTTGTGAACGAGAATCTAGACCTTTCCTGTATTCGCTTCCGTGACCTGTGATGAAACAGTGATTCCAAGATAAGGTTRGACTTGATGTGTTCATACATTTACTGAATTTTATCAGTTAATTCAAACCTGTACTTGGGGCCATTGTTGCATAGTCATTTGAATTCAGGAAAGGCAATTTATTTGTTTCACAGATTTTATACCTCTTGCTAAAAACGTTTATAACTCCCTCCACTCTGAGTGGGTGGATGGGTCAGCACATTTCGTGCTYGTTTACTCCCAAGCCATTTTTTACGATATTTACTTTCAAAAAGTTTTGAAGAAACTCATTGGAATCATGTGTCCTTGCATGGCATCCATGCTTTAGTGGTCATAATTATCCTTTATATTAAAGGGTGTGAACCTTAGTCATACACACTTGATTAGCTTCAGGATGGTATTGATTTCAATAATAACAATATGTAAATTATTATAATAGATGAATAAGAATTCCTGTACAAAAACTCTAGAAGCTGAGACAGAACAGCAAAATCAAAGAAGTGTAGTAATTAGTATCTAATTATATTATAGATATTTTGCTGTAAAGTGTAGGTATAATACCACAGAATGATATTTGAGACAAACATAACATTAGACATGAGACCAACTTGAACATTGTTTGAAATAATTTATTACTAGGAGATTTTGTTCAAATTTTTGTAACATAATATTTTTTTTTTCAATAAAATGCTGATTTATTATCATATTCTGCTGAAGTATTCTTGATTTTGCATTTTTCCATGAAATGTTATGCTACTTTTTAATTTARAGAGTTATTAATAATGTATAAATACCGATAATTAATACATTTACTTTAATCCCTGGTCCTTGAATGCTAATGTTCATCAACCGTTCTCACTGCACTGCTGTGCATTTAAGAGAAGAGTGTCATATAACTGCTATAATAATTGCAGTATAGCATCACAAACGCAGTAGAGACCATTTCATACAAATCAGAAAGTGCCGAGTTCAACTGAAAACCATTCAAGACTGAGAGGATATAATATTTCCAATTATTGCAATGATTTCATGCAACTAAGTGCCACTTTTCCGACTCATATGAAATACCCCCTTACTATTAGACCAAAGTGTCACATACCCCTACACATGCCTCCTACGAACCATTTAAATTAGCAATTATGCATCATTTGAGCAAATTTCTTATGATCAAGTTTGTTTTCGTGACATACTGATGTGTGAGTGAACTAATAACTTGTTTGATAGCCTTCTATAAATACTTTTGAAATATTTTTTAAAATCCTGGTTATAAGCCCCCTCTCCCCCACCCTCAGTATAAGCCCCCCCCCTCCCCCATTAGAAGCCCTTTTAATATCTTGTGTTTATAGCAATGATGACACCTGGCGATAAGCCCATCAAAAACCCTTACGAATGAGAAGATGCCCATAGGTTCATAACCAGAATTTTAAAATACTTTCTGTCATGAAAAAATAAAATTAAACTTCTAGACTACAGTAAATACCTATAAAATATTTAGCATGRTGACTCTAAAACGATTGTAAACATTAAAAAATTTGCTCTAACTGATGGTACAATGGAAGAAAAACCTTGTCATTTATCTTGGTGTTAGTAGGAAGGCAATGTGCGAGGGGAATTAACCTCATCCTCCACCACCTGCAAGGAAAGAATATTCAGGTTGTCAATAGTTATTAAACAAATGTTCTCTTTCAGTAGTTCATTATATATCTTGGGCTATCATCATTACTATCACCATCAGCAACAGCAACACTATATCACGGCTAGCTACCACCATCATTATCGTCATCATCGCCATCATCAGCAACACTACCACTGCTACCACCATCATTATCATCATCA